CTAAAATAGGTCCCACATTTAAAACAAATCAACTACATTCTTACAATTTTATTTATTAATTTATTATCATGATCCACTTAATTGGAGTGTAGAAGCGTGCTTTAGTATGAGGACGACCTTTAGTTCAGGAACACGAAAACAAGTGAAATATCCATTTATTATTGACACAATTTCTTTAATAAATATATATGAACTCTCAAAGAACACCGATAATCATACTATTAAATTATAAACTTTCAGTTATCAACCATCAATCATAAATTATAAATTATTAACTACTTCATCAGCCAACCACTACTTTTATCAAATAAATTCTAAATCAATTAAATTGATAGCAATGTAACCAAACAATTGAACTCAAGTGGCAAACAAACTACTTGAAAGAACAAAAAATTGGAGAATACCGAATACAAAGAAAACCCTTTAGGTAGAATATCAAATGCGAATACAAAGAAAACCCTTTAGGTAAGAAGATGAAATGCAACGATGTGATTGCAATTTACTCTTCATTTTTTCTATAAAAATTTTCATCGCACAAATAGGTTTTCTTACAACCTTTTTCAAAACTCAACATCTCTCATCTTCAATTCAAACTCCAAAAACAAACCCCCTTATTTAACTAACTCCCCACTACTCATTCCTCTATCCATTCTCTCTTAACCATGGCACCGAAACTTCCACTCACCCTCTGCATTTTCGCCATCTGGGCCATTCACTCTACCTACGCCGCTTCATCATCACACCATGCTCCATCGCCCTCTGTTGACTGTTCAACCCTTGTTCTCACCATGGCTGATTGTTTAACATTTGTTACAAATGACAGTACCATAACCAAACCAGAAGGAACATGCTGTTCTGGTTTGAAATCTGTCTTGAAAACTGCCCCTTCTTGCCTATGTGAAGCTTTCAAAAGCAGTGCTCAGTTTGGTGTTGTTTTGAATGTTTCAAAAGCGCTCACTCTTCCTTCTGTTTGCAAAGTCTCTGCTCCCTCTCTCTCTAACTGTGGATGTGAGTTCTTCTTTTTGGATTTTCCATTTTCTGTATAACCCAGATGACGGTTTTTATATTTTTACCATAAAGTTTGGTTTTTTAAACTTTCTGTTTTTCTTAATCCTAGGTTTGTGTTTTGATTCTATTTGATTTTTATTCACTTGTCTTATTTTTCTCTATATCTCAGATTGTTTTTTTTTTTAATTTTTTAATTACAATCAAGTTTGTTTTTTTAAATATAAATTTAATCTTAGGTTTGTGACATGATTCTAATGAAACATTGTTGTTTTTTGCAGTGTCTGTTACCCCTGCTGCTGCTCCTGGTATGTCTCCTTATGCAATTTACAAATATATGGTTTTGAAGTTTTGTCTTGAATTCTTTTCAAATTGTAGATAGGGTTTATATCATATGTGTTTGATTGATATAAGTATAATCTCAAAATATTGAATAAATTATCCAATTTTTCTGTTTTTGTTTCCTATGTTGTTGCTGTTAACAATTTATATTTTCATGTCTCATATATAGTTCAATAATTTTTATCATACATGTTATGTTTTCATGTGATTGGTTTCTCTAATTTGAATCATAATGGTTTGAAGGTGTAAGTCTCTCCCCAGCACCCTCTCCTACTGCTGAAGCTGTAGCACCAGGTGTGGCCACTCCTGTGCTTCCATCTAGAGTACCAGCAGCCGCGCCGACTTCCAAGAGCGCGGCGGCATCAGCATTGCTCCCTATTTCAGCAGGATCCATTCTTGTTTGTCTCTTATCTCTATTCTCAAGCCTTTGAGCAGTTATGTCTAGTTTCATTTTGAGAGTAGGAAGGTTATTTTGAGTTTTGATGTTTTTTTGAGTATTATTATTACCATTAGAGCTATTTTCATTGCGTGTGTAAGTTAAACCTATTCATGTATTTATTTATTTATGAGTAGTGAGTTTTGCATTTTTTAATTTTATGTTGGATTGTTGTGAATATGATCCATTTGAGTTGTTGTTGTTGATAAGTACATGTGTGAAGAGACACAAGGGAATGACATGTTACGTGTTGTTGTGGTTGAACTCTTATCTAGTAAGATGTCTTAAATGGAATGGAAGGTGTTTTTCATTGGGGCCACCACAAATTCACAGCTTTTAAGATTGATGAGTTCGAATTCCATTGCTTTTAAGTATCTAATGAAACACTAATTTAAGCCTTTGGAATCATCGATTAGTATTATGATTTGTGATGGGTAAATAAGAATGATTAATAGTCAAATTGTTCCCCCACATGCTTTTTGCGGTTCCTTCTTCTAAAGAAGAAAAGCATTCATTTTTCGGCGCGTTAGGGAAGGTGACATGATTAAATGCGAAAGTGATCATATGGTGTGGCATTTGGTGGCCACAAGCAATGTGTTGTATGCCTAGAAATGGGATATACTTTGAAAATAAATTGTGGGACTAAGTGTTTCTTTTTTTTCTTTCTTTTCTTTTGTCGAGTAAAAGGAGGCTAATTTTGAACACATGATTAAGATAAAATAAATAAATTTAAATTCTTAAGTAAGACCACGAGACTATCTATAATGGTAAAATTATTCAACATCAATTTTTCTCATTTTTTACACTCTATATCATCTTCTCTCTTCCACCTATTAATTAAACACTCATTCAACTTTTACTCACTACAATGATTTTGTTTAATAAAATTCAACACCTTACCCCACCATTTTTATTTTTTATTTTTATTTTCTTTTTTATGTTTTTATTTTTTTTTATTATATATTAATAGTAATTATCAATTGAAATTAAATTAAAATAATTAAGAGTTAAATAATTTTTTTTAATTTTTTTTAATTTAAAAGCTTATTTTAATTTTTTTTCTCTAATTTTATATTCGTAATTACAAAAAACTTAAAATGTAATACAATACACACAACACACTTAAAATGAATCACACATAACTTATTAGTACAATAGACTCAACTCACAAACAATCTATTTAATCACGAAACATTACAAACTTTACCCATATATGTTTGACTAGATCTACTTGCAATTCGTGATGTACATTTGAATCACGCATCACAGATCTAGCACGCACATGATTTACAAATGCAGGTAGCATCTCGATCGAGAATGGCTCCGGTGTACCAGACTCACTTGTCTCAGATTGATAATAAGTTTTCCAATGTTGAGAATATGTATCTCGGTCATCCTCAACAATCATATTATGCAATATGATACATGACCTCATGATGAGAGTCAAATCGGCTATGTCCCACAAACGGGTTGGTTCGTGAATGATTTTAAATCGAGCCTGCAACACCCCAAATGCACGTTCGATGTCCTTCCGACATCCCTCCTGATATTTTGCAAATGACTTATCTGGTTCACTTTGAGGAAGTCTAATTGATTTGACGAAAGTAGGATAAGAAGGGTAGATACCGTCAGCAATATAGTATGTCATATTATACGGACGTTGATTCACAAAGAAGTTCACTCTTGGAATTTTTCCCTGTTCAACATCATCAAACACGAGTGAACGGTCTAGAACGTTTATATCGTTCAATGTGTCCGAACATCCAAAGAAGGCATGCCAAATCCATAGATCATAAGTTGCAACTGCTTCAAGAATAACAATGGTGGTTCCCTTATCTCCCCGAGTAAATTGACCTTCCCGTGCTGTAGGATAATTTTTCCATTCCCAGTGCATGCAATCAATACTCCCAATCATCCCCGGGAACACCCGCATTTCACTAACATGTAGTATTCTTTGCAGGTCGTCTTGAGTTAGGGCTCTGAGATACACTGGCTCATACAATTGTATGATTCCTTTACAAAATCTACGCAAGCACTCTAATGTTGTTGTACCTCCTATTTTAATGTATTTATCGACCGCATCGGCCGCCACACCATATGTTAACATGCACATGACCGTGGTACATTTTGCTAATGAAGATATACCTTCTTTTTTGGCTGCGTCAACTCTTTGGGTGAAGTAGTTGTCACTGCTAGATAGTTCCCCAACAATCCTAAGGAACACATGTTTTCGCATTCGGAATTGCCGACGAAACATTGCATCGTCATATGTAGGTTGGTCTGCAAAGTAGTCTTCTATTAGTCTTTGGTTTGCTGCTGCATGATCTCTATTGAGATATTTTCTCTTAACATTAAGTGTATATCCTTCCTCTATTTGGTTTCTTCGCTCCCTGAACCGGTTGACGATACACCTCTCTTCGATTTCAGACTGCCTTTTGTAAGCTTCGATATCAAAGGAAAATTCTGAAGGATCTATTAATGTTTTTTAGTAATATGAGATTTTTGGTATTGGTACATTAATGGAAGAATGAGTCTCCATTTATAAGATTAGTAATATCATATTTTTGGTATTGATACATCAATAATATATAAGAAACTAAGTGATAAAATAGAAATCAATATCTTGATAATATAGATAATAATAGACAAGAAACAAAATGACAAAATAGAAATCAATATCTTGATAATATAGATAATAGTAGACAAGAAACTAAGTGACAAAATAGAAATCAATGTCTTGATAATATAAATAATAGTAGACAAAAAACAAAATAACAAAATAGAAATCAATATCTTGATAATATAGATAATAGTTGACAAGAAACTAAGTGACAAAATAGAAATCAATGTCTTGATAATATAAATAATAGTAGACAAGAAACAAAATGACAAAATAGAAATTAATATCTTGATAATATAGATAATAGTAGACAAGAAACTAAGTGACAAACAATGGCTTGATAATATAGATAATAGTAGACAAGAAACTAAGTGACAAACAATGTCTTGATAATATAGATAATAGTAAACAAGAAACTAAGTGACAAACAATTTCTTGATAATATAGATAATAGTAGATAAGAAACAAAATGACAAAATTGAAAATAGTAGATAAGAAACAAAATACAAACAATGACTTGACAATGACTTGATAAAGACTTGATAATATAGAAAATAGTAGATAAGAAACAAAATACAAACAATGACTTAATAATATTTAATTTCCAAACAGATCGCGACTCAACTTTTCCAACAACTCTTTGCTCCGGTCATCAAGATGCTCCTTTGAACTTAGCTTCATAAACATCTTCATCTTCTTAGCCTCAGTACTTTCTTTCAACAATTGATTAGCTTCCTCTTGCCTCATGGCTATTTTGTCCAATCGTTCCAACTCTTTCTCCTTAAATTGTTTGAATTTATTCCACTCTTTATTGATCGATTCCAAGGCTGCGCCATTGCTTTTTTTTACCCTTTTTTTTGTTGTATCCCTCCCCATTGGGCGAACACTAGATTCTACAGAGTTGGAATCACTTGCATCACTCTCGCGAGCTCTCTTAGATCCTCTACCTACAGATCCACTATTTCCTCCTACCTGACTACCATAACGTGGTTGATCACGAAGAGCGAGCCATTCTGATATTAAAATAAAATGTCCACTCTTACCACTTGAATATAATTCATGCGCTTTTGCCAATACATCATTCTCCGACCACTCTCTTTTTTGCATACACTTAGCGTTATCATAAGCGTCTGTCCATTTATTAAGTATTTTGTTCATGTAGTTGTAATGATTTCTACATGCAGCTCCATCACGGGGAGGATCAAATGAGCAATGCTCATTATTACAGTAATAAGCAATTTTACCCCAATATGAATCACTTTTTTGGTTATTCCCAACAACACTGTCTGTTCCATATTTAATCCACCCACTAATTAGAACCAAATTTTGATCAGTGGTCCATTTGGGGCTTTTCCGACGAACATAAGTTGAATCCTTTGCATTTGGAGTGGCTCCATAACCACCGCTCATGCCACCAAGAGTCGTTTGTGTAGAAAAATCAGGAAATTCATCAAGTCCAATATTAGGAACATTTTCATTTCCCATTGGAGTAGAAGAATAATAAGGTGGTGCTTGGGATGAATATGACATCATAGATCCATAATATGGACGATAGTTTGGATTAGATGACGGCATTATGAAATTTGGTATATTTTGGGGACCTTGTTGGTTGGAAGATTGATTTTGAAATATATAGTTGGGATTTGGGTAGTTGAAAGGATAATTAGTAGAATTTTAGGTGTTAAGAGGGTTATTGTTGGGATTCATTTCACTAAAAAATTGTTTAGAGCTACAAACAATAATTTATTGGAGGCTAAATAGAAAAATTAGAGAGAAAAAATAGATTTTTTTCTTTGTCCAAATCAAATGAACCAAGACTCTATTTATAGACAAAAAAATGATGAATTTTTGTGAAAATAAAAAAAAATAAAAAATTGATTTTCTATAAAATAATTGACTCCAAATAATTTAGGTGAGATAAAAATATAAACAATCACAACAACCAATTATATTTTACAAAGTATTATAAGTGGCCCCCTTTTACAAAGTATTATAAGTGGCCCCCAATCATTTCTAATTCAACATGTTGAATATTTTCAACACAAATTAATCCACGTCACATTCAACACCTTATTCAACATTCCATTGGAGCAATTCAACTATTGAAAAATTTATTCAACACCCCCATTGCAAGTAGTCTAAAAGCTTGATCAGCCACAAGAAAAACTAAAAACATAAAGACAGACGAGGTAATTCAGTGCCTCGATTTGGGAACAAGGTATCTCTTTGACTTCCAAGTTATTGGTTAAAAAAAAGAAAATAATTTACAAACCGATTAAACCTATGTATTTATTAATTAACTTAGTTAAAAAAGGAAAGTTTAAAAAACCACATCATTTAATCAATTACTAACCTCCTTAATAGATTATGAGGTGCTACATTTTGATTCTAATATATTAGAATGCTCTTTTAATAGGTTAGATAATGTATAATTCCTTTCTATTTGATTAAACAAGTTTCCAATAAACTAAACACATGTTTAAATTTGTTTTCTTAAGATTTAACAAAAAGAGAAGGTATTTGAAGAACCTTGTGTATGTTTGTGATTTTCCTTAGTATCTACAGACTTATTCTTGTACTTTTTACAATAAATTGATCAAGATTAGGAAAATTCCTAAGTGTAGGATCAGACAAACTTTTACACTTCCCGACCTTCAAGCTTTCAAGCTTCGAAATCATGACTTCAATTCTTAAAGTTTCATTGCTTGATTCTACAATGTCTAGTATTGAACTTGATCTCTTTTGAAGTTGCATGTTTCATGTCTCTGTCCCATGAGTTAAATATTTTGATTGCTTGTTTTTTAAGTTTTGGATTATGTGGTATTTAGCTATTGAGTATCCTCTACTATTGCACATCTATGAGTTGAATTTCAAATTTGCTTTAAGCATTCATGAATCAAAGTGTTTGATTATAATTTAAGCAACATATTCAAGTTAATCTATTGAGTTTTTGGATCAAGAACTATATTTTGAGAATTGTTCAAGTCATGATTATATTAGAATCTAAAAAATCACTTAAAATTTTGTAAAATAGAGATTATGGTTGTGTGATTCGAATCACACTATTCTCTTGACTCGAATCAGACTTACAAGGAGCTCTGGGATTATTTTATAGTTTTCATGATTCAAATCACATCACTTTAATTTGAATCACTATGGAATGAAAGTTTCTTGGTTTGCTAGTGGAACTATGATTTGAATGCCCATTTCTCACGAATCGAATCATGTGATTCGAATCATAGTTTGTGTGACTTGAACACATAAATGGATTCTCATATAGTTTTTGCTTCTTGATTCGAATCACTTAAATTTCTAACTTGAATCTTACACCAATTTTCACTCATTTTTGTGCTAGATCTTCAACAAATATAAATACTTTTTCGCTCAAAACCTCTCATAATGTTGGAAAACACACACTTTAAGTATTGATTTGAAAAATCACAACTCACTTGTTCCCTTATTTTCAAAAGTGTTTTAAATCTTTCTCGAGTGCTTGCAAATAATTTTTTAATATTTTATCTCATTCTAATTCCATTTTCACGTGGATCTAAATCTCACATTTGGAGATTTTGATGGTTGAGGAGATTTCGTTAGTGTGTTAATGTTTCTTTGAAGATTTTCTTAAGATATCATAGTTTTGCAAGGTGTGTGGTGTTGTGGCTAGTTTTGAGAAGTCCAACAGAAAAGAATGAGGTTCTTCTCTCCAAAATTACTTTGGTAGTTCTATGTGAAAGTTTACGAACAAAGTGAGAGTTCTTATCAATCTTGAGACATACCAACGCTTAAGATAATATTAGGATCGAGAAAAGATCACTGTAGAACAAAGACTTTTGAACATAATTGTTGGGGCTCGAAGATTCAAGATGATTTAGAGTAAATCTTTATAAGAATTCGGTTTGGATATTGTGTACAAGTCAAATGATCGAGATATAAGGTTTTTATATTTTCAACATTATTTGGATATTATGATTGTACTAAACATCATGTAATTTGTCACAAACTATATTTGAAGACCAACATTTTCAACTGGCATACACCTCTCTCTCTCTCTCTCTCTCTCTCTCTCTCTCTCTCCTCTCTCTCTCTCTCTCTCTCTCTCTCTCTCTCTCTCTCTCTCTCTCTCTCTCTCTCTCTCTCTCTCTCTCTCTCTCTCTCTCTCTCTCTCTCTCTCTCTCTCTCTCTCTCTCTCTCTCTCTCTCTCTCTCTCTCTCTCTCTCTCTCTCTCTCTCTCTCTCTCTCTCTCTCTCTCTCTCTCTCTCTCTCTATCTATCTATCTATCTATATATATATATATATATATATATATATATATATATATATATATATATATATATATATATATATATATATATATATATAATTTCATAGAAATTTTATGTTAGGTTGCTTTTTACCACTTTCCTAGAATTTCATGCTATTAGGTTTTTGCCTTGGTAACAATTTATTGGTTAAGTGTAGGTTTTGTTATAATTAACATTTTTTATTTGTTTTGTTATTGATTAAGGCTGATAATTAGGGTGTTAGAATCCATATTGTATTAAACTTTTACAAATACACCTCTTGTGTAAATATGATATTAATTCAATGCACTTCTTGTTTGTGTTGGACTTGAGACTTCACACACAAAAGGGGGGTGAATTGTGTGGTTTAGAAAAAAATGGTTTTGAAAACTTTTGACAAATTAAATCAGAGTTTAAAAATATTTTCTAAGTCTAAGCAGCAGAAAATGAATATTGAAAATTAAAGTGCAGAAATTAAAGAGTTGATGGAAGAATAAGAACACCAAGAATCATACAGGTTCAGTAAAAAACGACTTAGTCATGTCCCAAAGATTTGATCTTGAGAGTTTCCAATAACACTTGAGAGCTTTTAGTAGAAAAGGCTCATGAACCCTCTTATACAATGAAATGGTGGTTGTCCTATAATCAAAATATTACAAGACAGATGATATGAGTGTTTGCATCTTTTCTCTAATAACTTGTTGAAACCGAAGTGATCAAACTTCTTTCTCAATTGTAGATTGAAGTGATTAGTCTTCTCTCCATGAACACGAGTCTTGTAGAGGTTAGTCTTCAAGTTCCAAAATATATTTGATTTTAACAAGATAACCAAATAACCTTGAAATTTTAACTGGGCTGATCTCAAAACCTATGAAGATTTTTATATCGGCTAATCTTCAACCAATCACGAAATAATGGAATATTATCAAAGCAAGATTGAGGCAATATTAAACACAATTCCCAATCATAAGTTTTTAACGGGTTTAGCTTAAAAACACATAGGTAGTCCCTATTTGAACAATATTCAACCAAGGTTTGTAAGCATAGTTTACCTTGGTAAATATATACAATTCTATCCTTCTATAATTACAATAGAGACCTCACTCATAATTGGTACTTTCCTCATAAAAAAACATTTGGCTATATGAACTAGTGAGAGAAAGTTAAAATAAAACTTTAGAGAGAGAGAGAGAGAGAGAGAGAGAGAGAGAGAGAGAGTCAATACACAAATTCGTGTTTTGGATATTTGAAATGAGAAATGGAGCCTCTGTTGACAGGCTCGTGGTTCCCTAAAAAAGGAAATTGCATTTAAGCAAAAAGAGTTGTTTCTAATCAATTGAAATAATTGGTTGATGTTTGAAAATGAATCGTATATAAGTTCCAAAATAAAAATATAAGATATATAACCGCTGCATAGAATTTGGGTGCATTTAACTTGCCTTGTGCCTTAAGTACGCGTTAATCTAATTGGTTAGCACTTTGTTTCGATCGATTAAATAAAGTCAAAAAAATGTTTTATGGATTTTTTACTGTTTTCATCATGCTCTATACAACTTCTATATGTTTTTCAAAGTATTTTCTTTTGGTAAATCATTTGATAAAAAAGTTTTTGTGTATGTGTGTGTTTATAGCCATTTACTTCTATGAAAAAAATCCCTTTGCTTTTACATAGTTTCACTCACTTACTATTTTAAGATATTTTCTCTAAGCCTTGTCTATTATGATCTTTTTGCATTTGACACTTGCTTGAGATCTTCTCGAGGCTTTTGATAAAATCCAGTTTGTTTGTCTTTATCTGATAGTCATGTTTATCAAACCTTTATACTCATGGCTTGCATGTTTAACCGCTTAAGTGCATTGTCTGACTTATCTTTATTATGATAGATATCTATGTTCTTTTATTTATAGTTGTCATCATCAAAATATACTTTCTTGATTAGAAGTGTATTACCTGCAAAATAAGGTTCCATTCTTTGTTCATCTTTTGGCTAAGGGTTTGATTTGATCTATTATCACATTGGGAACCAATTATGTTGTCCCGTGTATATACTATTCGATAAGCATAATAATTTTATACACTCTTTAATTCCACCATGCAAACTAATTTTCTTATTCAAACTCTAATAAAATTTATCAAAACTACCTATAAATTGATCAACTTTATTTGGGAGGTCTATTCACTACCCATATAAGCCATTGGTTAATGTTAACCTCCCAATATATTGATCAGACGATGAAACCAAAAAGACATTTTATGATTTAAAGGCGATAAATATACTTATATCTATTTTATAT